ACTTCTGTGAAGTGTCCGCTGAACTTATGTAAAGTTTCCGCTGAACTTCTGTGAAGTTTCCACTGAACTTTCATGAAGTTTCCGCTGTGCTTCTGTGAAGCATCTTCTGAACTTCTGTGAAATTACCGCTGAACTTCTGTGAAGTTTCCACTGAATTTTTGTCAAGCTTCCGCTGAACTTCTGTGAAATTTCCGCTGAGCTTCTGTGAAGCATCTTCTGAACTTCTGTGAAATTACCGCTGAACTTCTGTGAAGTTTCCGCTAAAATTCGATGAAATTTCCCCTGAAATTCTGTGAAGATTCCGCTGAACTTTTGTGAAGTATCCACTGAATTTTTGAGAAATTTTCGCTGAACTTCTGTGAAGCATCTCCTGAATGTATGTGAAGTTTCCGCTGAACTTCTGTGAAGCATCTCCTGAACTTATGTGAAGTCTCCGCTGAAATTTCCACTGAACATTTGTAAAATTTGCGCTGAACTTCTGTGAAGTTACCGCTGAACTTTTATGAAGTTTTCGCTGAACTTTTGTGAAGTTTCTGCTCAACTTCTGTGAAGTTTCCACCGAATTTCTGTGAAGTTTCCATTGAACTTCTGTGAAGTTTCCGCTGAACTTTTGTGAAGTATCCACTGAATTTTTGAGAAGTTTCCGCTGAACTTCTGTGAAGCATCTCCTGAATTTATGTGAAGTTTCCGCTGAACTTCTGTGAAACATCTCCTGAATTTATGTGAAGTCTCCGCTGAAATTTCCACTGAACTTTTGTAAAATTTGCGCCGAACTTCTGTTAAGTTTCCGCTGAACTTTTATGAAGTTTTCGCTGAACTTTTGTGAAGTTTCTGCTCAACTTCTGTGAAGTTCCCACCGAATTTCTGTGAAGTTTCCATTGAACTTCTGTGAAGTTTCCGCTGAACTTTTGTGAAGTTTCCGCTGATTTTTTGTGAAGTTTCCGCTGAACTTCTGTGAAGTATCCACTGAATTTTTGAGAAGTTTCCGCTGAACTTCTGTGAAGCATCTCCTGAATTTATTTGAAGTCTCCGCTGAAATTCGATGAAATTTCCACTGAACTTTTGTGAAGTTTCCGTTGAATTTTTATGAAGTTTCCACTGAACTTCTGTGAAGTTTTCAATGAACTTCTGTGAAGTTTTCACTGAACTTCTGTGAAGTTTCTGCTCAACTTCTGAGAAGTTTCCGCTGAACTTCTGTGAAGTTTTCACTGAACTTCTGTGAAGTTTCCGCTGAACTTCTGTGAAGTTTTCAATGAACTTCTGTGAAGTTTTCACTGAACTTCTGTGAAGTTTCTGCTCAACTTCTGAGAAGTTTCCGCTGAACTTCTGTGAAGTTTTCACTGAACTTCTGTGAAGTTTCCGCTGAACTTCTGTGAAGTTTTCACTGAACTTCTGTCAAGTTTCCACTGAACTTCTGTGAGGTTTCCGCTGAACTTCTGTGAAGCATCTCCTGAATTTATGTGAAGTTTCTGCTGAAATTCAATGAAATTTCCACTGAACTTTTGTGAAGTTTCCAATGAATTTCTGTGAAGTTTCCGCTGAACTTCTGTGAAGTTTCCGCTGAACTTCTTTGAAGTTTCCGCTGAACTTTTGTGAAGTTTCCGCTGAACTTCTGTGAAGTTTTCGCTGAACTTTTGTGAAGTTTCTGCTCAACTTCTGTGAAGTTTCCGCTGAACTTTTGTGAAGTTTCCACTGAACTTCTGTGAAGTTTCCGCTGATCTTCTGTGAAGCATCTCCTGAATTTATGTGAAGTTTCCGCTGAAATTCGATGAAATTTCCACTGAACTTTTGTGAAGTTTCCGATGAACTTCTGTAAAGTTTCCGCTGAACTGCTGTGAAATTACCGCTGAACTTCTGTGAAGTTTCCGCTCAACTTCTGTGAAGTTCCCGCTCAACTTCTGTGAAGTTTACACTGAATTTCTGTGAAGTTTCCGCTGAACTTCTATGAAATTTCCGCCGAATTTCTGTGAAGTTTCCATTGAAATTCTGTGAAGTTTCCGCTGATTTTTTGAGAAGTTTCCGCTGAACTTCTGTGAAGCATCTCCTGAATTTATGTGAAGTCTCCGCTGAAATTTCCACTGAACTTTTGTGAAGTTTTCGCTGAATTTTTATGAAGTTTCCTCTGAACTTCTGTAAAATTTGCACTGAACTTCTGTGAAGTTTCCGCTGAACTTTTATGAATTTTTCGCTGAACTTTTGAGAAGTTTCTGCTCAACTTCTGTGAAGTTTCCGCCGAATTTCTGTGAAGTTTCCGCTGAACTTTTGTGAAGTTTCCGCTGATTTTTTGTGAAGTTTCCGCTGAACTTCTGTGAAGATCCACTGAATTTTTGAGAAGCTGAACTTCTGTGAAGCATGTCCTGAATTTATGTGAAGTCTCCGCTGAAATTCGATGAAATTTCCACTGAACTTTTGTGAAGTTTCCGATGAATTTTTATGAAGTTTCCACTGAACTTCTGTAAAATTTGCGCTGAACTTCTGTGAAGCTTCCGCTGAACTTTTATGAAGTTTTCGCTGAACTTTTGTGAAGTTTCTGCTCAACTTCTGTGAAGTTACCGCTGAACTTCTGTGACGTTTGCACTGAAATTCGATGAAATTTCCGCTATACTTCTGTAGTTTTCGCTGAACTTCTGTAAAGTTTCCGCTGAACTTTTGTGAAGTTTCTTCTGAACTTCTTCGAAGATTCCTCTGAACTTCTTTAAAGTTTCTTCAGAACTTCTTTGAAGTTGCTTCTGAACTTATTCGAAGATTCTTCTGAAATTCTTCTTAACTCCGTCGAAATTTCTGCTGAACTTCCTCGAAGTTTCTTCTGAACTTCTTTTGAACTTCTTTGAATTTTCTTCTACACTTCGTCGAAATTTATTTTGAACTTCATTGAAGTATCTTCTTAACTTCTTCTGAACTTGGTCTAAATTTCTTTTGAACTTCGTCAAAGTTTCTTCTGAACTTATTTGAAGTATCTTCTAAACTTCTTAGAAGTTTCTTCTGAACTTCGTCGAAGTTTCTTTTGAACTTCGTCGAAATTTCTTCCTAACTTCGTCGAAGTTTCTTCTGAACTTCTTCGAAGATTCTTCTTAACTTCTTAGAAGTTGCTTCTAAACTTCGTCAAAGTTTCTTATGAACTTAAGTTGCTTCTGAACTTCATCGAAGATTCTTCTTAAATTCTTAGAAGTTGCTTCTTAATTTCGTCGAAGTTTCTTATGAGCTTCTTAGAAGTTACTTCTGAACTTCGTCGAAGTTTCTTCTGAACTTCGTCGAAGTTTCTTCAGAACTTCTTCGAAGTTTCTTCTGAACTTCTTCGAAGTGTCTTCTAAACTTCTTCGAAGTTGCTTCTGAACTTCTTCGAAGTTTCCTTGGAGCTCCTCTGAAGCTCCTTCTAAACTTTTTCTGAAGTTTACTCTGAGCTTCTCCGAAGTCCCTTCTGAATTTCTTCCAGAAAAATGAACCTCAGCAAGATGACTACAAAGTTTTAGAATTTAGAATACCTCGGCGGTGGAAAAACTACGAACTCAAATTTTTTCCAAGGAAGTTTGAGACGCTTATTTAAAAATTCAGAATAGCTCAGGAAGAAATTATTGTTCTGAGAAATCACAATCAGAAATTTAGATAATATCTAGAAGAATTTCAGGACGGGTAACGCTTCGATTATTGTCAGAGGCACATTCCACACATGCTTAGGGAGTGGGTTACCTTCTCGCGTACCTTGTCAGTTGTCACATAACAAGCAGATAGTGCACTGTGCTCGGAAAATCGCCCACCAAATATGGCAACTAGATCCAGCTTTTTCTCACACACCCAACTTGGCTGCGGCGGCGAAGTCCGATGATTGGCTTTTATTGGCAGCCCCAGAGATCTACATAGGTATTCATATGCTTTCCGTTTTCTGTACGGCCGAGTTCCACTCCTTCGAATCGTTGCCATTGCTGATCTGCGCTGATTTTGCGAGTGGCTCGGCGTTTGTGGAATCGAATGAAAGGGAACTTCACCCGACGGACGGCGGCACAGTTTCGGCGTGGACGCGAACTGCGTGTGGTGGAGGAGGGAAACCGGTTCTGGCTGCTGCAGCGTAGCCTTTTGGTGGTGCAGAGCAGTTCGGCATCAGCTCAGAGACGATAGACAGGCAGAGACTTGATGCAATAAACACTCCAAGTATGGTATGGTAGGATTGGGTTGGCGTTTGGTCCATGTCTGGCGTTGTTGGGAAGATTAACAGAGACCGTGTGTTGTGGGGATAGACGATTGCGTAATTTCGTGGTTTTGTGATGGTCGGACGTACGTAAATTTCGTACATTAATCTTTGGTCTAAGGGGTACCAAAGCGCTAATGTTCATGGCGCCGTTAATTTCTGGGAACGTAGTAGGTCCACTAGTAGTCTTGTGATGGCACACAACTCCACAAAAGATTATAGATCGCTTCGCTCGTAGATACAGCTGTTATTATTTTCTAAAAGTGAGCGTATCTTCTAGTGTTTCCTAATCTCACATACTTGGTAGCTGAAGAGGAACTTGAACGCGTTGAAAAGGTAACAATTCCGAAGCTGAGCTGAGCTTACACTAGGTATTTATCAAACTCTTAACAGTTGGCTTTCTTGTCTGCAGCTTTAAACAAACCATATTTTTGAAAAATTACTATGTGAGAGGGAATTGGCCTTTTAAAGTCTGCTGATGCTGTTATTATTAAGTGGATGCTTGATTCCTGCTTCCAAAAAATGAAACTTTTGCCCACAAAATAAAATTATCCGTAATCCGATAGACAAATTCCACCCTCCAACCAGAGCAAAAAAAAACGCCGGAACCCACCGAAAGGCACCCGTTCTTTCTTTATGTGCTGGTGTTCGGCCACCCTCCGACCATTGCACACCAATCAACCATCAAGCATAATACATAATTCATGTCTGGGCCACCATCCCGCGGGTTCCCGCGACCAGCGCGGTTGCAATTTTGCCTCCCCTTTCCTGTTTTCGTTTTAGCCACCATCGCACGGCTTTCTGGATCTGGACTCACCTTGATGATTAATTCGATTTCGGGCACGTCGCCGTTGCGGGTACCATTTTCCTGGGTTTCGTCGGACATTATTCCTTTGCTGGCTTTACTCCCAAGAAGCAAGAACAGCACAATCAAATCTATTCGGGGCTCACTTTTAAACCGACCGACAAAGACAAACTTTTATTTCGCACCCGAAAAAATGCAAACCTCCAGAAAATGATTCACTTCTTTACTCGTCGTGTACCAACACTCTTTTGATGTTGTTGTTGTTGCTGTGAAAGCTTCTTCTTATGCTTCTTCTCCGTGATCCGGGAGTGATCTTTTGCTTCGCGAACCAACACACAAAAGCACTCTGCTACTTCTTTTTATTTTCTTCCACGCGGTGACTGCAGCAGCCTCTCTCTCTACTTCTGCTGCTGACGGATTTAATATTCTGATTCTGTGTTAGTGCACTTTGCGCTTCCAGATTATTCTGCACTTTTCCCCACTTGAACGCAAAAAAACAGCACTATTTTCCCTTCGAACGCGAATAAAATTTGACTGCAACAGTGAAAAATATTTTCCGAAAACCGGCTTTCGTTGCCGGAAAAAAACCACCCAACGCGTGATCGTTTTTCCGCAGGCTCCAAAAGGGAGGGTTGATTTTCTTCGACTACTTTTGTCTGGGGGGTGGTGACGGGTGGCTGCAGCAGCTATCCCGTTCTGGCAGACGGCGTTTTGTGAAGGTGGGTTGAAAAAACAAAACCGCAACAACTACTTTTGGCTGACCGCACAAAACTCACACGAACTAAACACGACGGCAGTTGGAAAAAGACTGACGACGAACGACTGAAGATCTGGAGAAGGTTGTTCGCGAAAAGAGCACGCAAAACGTTGCTGTGTGCGGATGGCAACACTGTCGAGCACTCCGCCCGTTTCGAAAGTGACAGAGCGCGAAGTGTCATTGCGGGATGGCTTGCGGAAAAGAGAGAGTGTATAAATACGGACCAATAGGTCTGTGCCATAAAAGGGGAGAGATACCAAAAAGTTGAGCACGTTTCTTCGGGACCTACTAGTCTTATAGTACGTTCAGACTACAGAGCTATAACATGTTATAGCGCTATCTTGATGGTGGTTTCTGTGTTGCAATTAGTTGACAACCGTTATAACATGTTATAACTCTCCAGTCTCTCATTCCGTATCGAGCGCTGAGCCAGTTAACAGCGTCCTGGTCTCTTCATACGACACTCGTTTTTTACCGCGTTTCCATCGCTATCGTTGTAGAAAAAAAAGTGTTCAGGTGAATCGCGCACGGTTTTCGGAAGCAGCTATCGTAAGCTGAGTCTTACGTATAGACTGTTCACCTTTACCCCAGTGATCGATCATCATCAAATCATCACCATCCCTAATAACAAATAACCATAAACGAACGATAACCCAAATCATTGAACTATTCCACACATGGTTTGGATGATACCCAGAACACGTCGTTAAGCAAATTAACCATACAATTTTTATTAGGGATCATCATCGCATCATCTCCGTCAATAGCCGCAGCGTAGCAGCAGCAAACGGAATACCTAGCTGCACCGGCTGATAGGTTGTTTACACAACCGGCATAAGTATAGTACAATACATTTTGCAAGTCCATTGCCTCCCTATTGTAGTTTTGTTTTGCCTCGTGGCGCGTGGTTCTGTCTCTCACCCCTGGTAAGGGAGTATGGTTCATAGTGAGACAACTTGTTGCAACTAGATAAAAGTTTTTTTTTTCGATTTTTTTTCGCTTTAATTTGCTTGTACGCCGTGCAAAAATTTAATTACTAGTAATTAAAATTAATAAATTGGAGAAGGTTTTTATTTTTTTTTCCTTCTTAAGCGGTTGCGCACCGCTTTTGCGCAACACTTATGGCATCTCCCGATGCCAACGTTGCGCGAACCAGGTATTACCAACCACTTTCGAAAGGACCATGGGTTGTCTTTTTTCGGCCTAAAAATAAAATAAAACTCTCGATATTTCGAGAGACTTGCTGCGTAAGTATCCGGGAATCTTGGTACATAAGGAGAGATTCAACAAACTGCGTGTAGAAGCACCGAATTATGATGTACACACTTAGTTTTTTCGACCGAGCTCGGCTGTGCAAATCTCGGCAAAATAAGTTTCACTGAGATCTCAGTAAAAGTGAAATTTGATTGCTGAGTCTCGGATAACGCTTAGCTGAATCTCAGCAAACAAATGAAATGTTTGCTGATATCTCAGTAAAACTTTTTTTGCCGAGATTTGCACAGCCGATCTCGGTAGAAAAATCTAAGTGTGTAGCAAATAAAATTGCTGATCACGAGTTGTTTAGTGTTGAGTACAACATCTACATCCCTTCTCGAGATGTGGAGATAGAAGGCGTGGTCTCCGACGCGAGTCTGTCTGTCGAGGACTTGAAACGTGCCTCGGGTTGTTTTAAAAACAGAAAAGTCACAAGCGAGCTTGTAAAGATACTGGATGTTAGGCAACTGCATTCAGTGTCTTTACAAGATGGCAAGAAAGTCTATCAGCATTCAGACTCGTTTCGGGTGACTTTCGCTGGTTCAGTTCTCCCAAACTTTGTCAAAGTTGATGGTGCTTTCTTTCCGGTGCGGTTGTTTGTACAGAGGGTTTATAACTGTACCAACTGCAAAAGGCTAGGACACTCGGCCAGCCATTGCGGCAACAAAACTCGTTGTGGCAAATGTGGTGAAAACCACAAAGAGGATTCTTGCCACAAAGAATCAGTAAAATGCGCGTACTGTGGCGAGAATCCTCACCCCTTGCAGGAGTGCCCGATGTACAAGCAGCACTCCGATAAAGTGCAGCGTTCAATCTCAGGACGCTCCAAGCAGACATATGCTCAAATGGTGAAGGCTGCATCAGCCGTCCAAGATGCAAACCAATTTTCGATTTTGTCAGCTGAAGAATCGGACTCTGACTCATCCGATGAAGGTGATTCTACGGTGGTACACGCACCTTCAAAAATGGACGGTTCCTCAAAAAGAAAATGCCCCTCCCCGAAAGTGCGCCGTAAGAAAACTAAAGTCACCTCCAGACGATTGCCAAATTCCCAGGGTAATGGGGATGAAAAAACAAAACCGAAGGCTCCTGTTGATCCAATCCCTGGATGCAGCAAGAATTTTCCGCCATTGCCCAACAAAGAAAAAATAAATAAAAAAGCTGCTCCTCAAACTTCTCAAAAGAAATCCAAGTCCGAACGAGGTTTGCTAGCTTTTTCGGACATTGTGGAATTCATATTAAACATTTTCAACATACAAGACCCTCTAAGAAGCTTAGTTTCTGCCTTGCTTCCAACGTTAGAATCATATCTTAAGCAATTGACTGTTTCATGGCCCCTCCTTGCATCAATCATATCTTTCGATGGATAATTCGTCGAACGAGGTTGAAGATATGATCACTGTGCTACAGTGGAACTGCCGTAGTCTAGTGCCTAAACTAGACTCGTTCAAATTTTTACTTCACAATTCTGACTGTGATATATTTGCTCTCTGTGAAACATGGCTTTCTTCCGATAAAGAACTCAACTTCCTTGATTTTAACATTATACGCCTGGATAGAGACGATTCTTATGGAGGAGTACTTTTAGGGATCAAAAAGTGCTACCCTTTCTACAAAATTTCCCTTCCTGCTCTATCCGGCGTCGAAATCGTTGCTTGCCAAATAAATGTTAAGAACAAAGACCTTTGCATAGCTTCAGTTTATGTTCCACCAAGAACCTCCATTAGCCGTAGTCAACTCTGGAATCTAGTTTCGATTCTTCCATCCCCAGTATTAATTCTGGGTGATATGAAGTCCCATGGTACTGGGTGGGGCGATCTATATGATGACAATAGAGCGGCTATTTTTTACGATTTATGCGACGATTTCAACTTGACTATTTTGAACACTGGTGAAGTGACACGTATAGCAAAACCTCCGGCTCAAGAAAGCCGACTCGACATATCTTTGTGTTCAAGATCGCTATCATTGGATTGTCTGTGGAAGGTTATCAATGATCCCCATGGTAGCGATCATTTGCCAATCATCATTTCAATTAAGTGTGCCCCTCACTCTGCAGAACCATCTCGAGTTCCATTTGATCTTACAAGGAACATAGATTGGCATAAATATGCAACGGCGGTGACAATCGGTGCCGAATCAATAGATACGCTTCCACCATTGGAAGAATATCGATTCCTCGCCGATTTGATTTACAAAAGTTCACTGGAAGCACAAAAAAGAAAAGTTCCAAGTGCGCCCTTCAAAAGGAGACCAGCCACACCTGGATGGGACGAAGAATGCACAAAACTGTATGTAGAAAAATCTGATGCTTTCAAAGCTTTTCGTAGACACAAAACCTCCACTTACTTCGAGGAATATTCAAAGCTTGAGACAAAGCTGAAACAATTAATCAAAGCAAAAAAACGCGGTTATTGGCGCAATTTCGTCGAGGGACTCTCACGAGAAACCTCAATGAACACCTTGTGGAGGGTGGCTCGCAACATGCGTAACCGCTCATCTTCTAATGAGAGTGAAGAATACTCCAACCGATGGATATTCGATTTCGCTAAAAAGGTCTGTCCGGACTCAGTTCCAGCAAAAAATATTCTTCGAGAAGCGTCTCCTAGCGGCGGCTCTCTGGATAGATCATTCTCAATGCTGGATTTCTCTATGGCTCTTCTTTCATCGAACAACTCCTCACCGGGAAGCGATATGATTAAATTCAATCTTCTGAAAAATCTCCCAGATATCGCTAAAAGACGCTTGCTAGACTTATTCAATTCCTTACTAGAAAACAACATTATACCGCCTGAATGGAGACAGGTCAAAGTAATAGCCATTCGAAAACCTGGCAAACCAGCGTCTGACCATAACTCATACCGTCCGATTGCGATGCTTTCGTGCATTAGGAAATTGTTGGAGAAAATGATCCTTCGGAGACTCGATCAGTGGGTCGAAACAAATAACTTGCTATCAAATACACAGTTTGGGTTCCGCAAGAGCAAAGGAACAAACGATTGTCTAGCGCTGCTTTCCACAGATATTCAACTGGCCTTTGCACACAAGGAGCAATTGGCTTCAGTATTCTTGGACATTAAGGGGGCTTTTGATTCAGTTTCCATTGAAATTCTGTCAGACAATCTGCACAGATGTGGACTTTCCGGAATTTTAAATAATTTCTTGTACAATTTGTTGTCAGAAAAGCAAATGAACTTTTCCCTTGGACAACTGACAACTTCCAGAATTAGCTACATGGGTCTGCCCCAAGGCTCATGTCTCAGCCCTCTTCTTTATAACTTTTATGTCAAAGATATCGACAACTGTTTGGCAGAACAATGCACGCTAAGACAACTTGCAGATGACGGTGTGGTTTCCGTAAGAGGTCCACATGCCGTGGACTTGCAAGGACCATTGCAAAGTTCCTTAGATAACTTGTCTTCTTGGGCTAGGAATCTAGGGATCGAATTCTCGCCGCAGAAAACTGAACTGGTAGTGTTTACTCGAAAGCGGTACCCAGCCCAAATGCATCTTAATCTTTTGGGCAGAAACATTACTCAATCATTGTTTTTCAAGTACCTTGGGGTCTGGTTTGATTCAAAGTGCACTTGGAATACCCATATTACGTATTTGAAGCAAAAATGTCAGCAGAGGATCAACTTTCTCCGTTCAATTTGCGGCACATGGTGGGGTGCTCATCCGGGAGACCTCATAACGCTTTATAAAACAACTATTCTCTCTGTTCTAGAGTACGGCTCTTTCTGCTTTCTCTCGGCAAGAAAAAGTCACCTAATAAAATTGGAACGAA